GGCCAGCATGACTGCATGGCGCACCATTATCTTTCTCCCAGAACAATACCTATTGATCTACTCACATTTGCAGTTTTCGAACTGCTAAGTAGGCAGAAGCTGGGGTTAACAGTGATCTCACCCCGCTCCCTGGATTAGAACCACTAACCTTTTGGTCAGAAAGTTCGGCAGCTCAGTGGTTTAACTCGCTTTGCCACCGGGGGAGGCATTATTTTATATCTTTTATATAAATACAATGTATTTTATTTTATTGAAATAATACTTTATGATAAGGTTGTTTTATTTTATTTAAAATGTCTCATTTTAGTTTTATTTTATAGAAATACAATTTAATATTAGTTTTATTGTATTTAAATAAAGTGTTATTTTATTTTAATAATATTGTTTATAAAATGTTATTTTAATGTTTTTATTTAAATACAATTTATTTTATTTCAATGATATATTGTTAAACAACATCTCTAATTCATTTTCTATTTTAAAAAATATTTATTTATTTATTTCCAATAGAAATGATATTGCAAGCCCCTTGAAATAGAAGAAGCTTTTCCATCATGTTAATCTATGGATAACATCACTTTTCAGCTGCAAAAGAGAACATCTTGAACGTGAGTTAAATACTTTACTTACTACTTAGGTGATCCCTCGTAGTCCGAGGATGATGGTCCCAAGGAAACATAGAGCTAGCCAAAAAATAGTAGACAACCATCACCCTCAATCGGAGAGAGAGTTTCCGGGTTGCTCGGAAATTCTTACCCAGAAATGCCCAAGGAAACATAGAGCTAGCCAAAAAATAGTAGACAACCATCACCCTCAATCGGAGAGAGAGTTTCCGGGTTGCTCAGAAATTCTTACCCAGAAATGCCCAAGGAAACATAGAGCTAGCCAAAAAAATAGTAGACAACCATCACCCTCAATCGGAGAGAGAGTTTCCGGGTTGCTCAGAAATTCTTACCCAGAAATGCCCAAGGAAACATAGAGCTAGCCAAAAAATAGTAGACAACCATCACCCTCAATCGGAGAGGGAGTTTCCGGGTTGCTCAGAAATTCTTACCCAGAAATGCCCAAGGAAACATAGAGCTAGCCAAAAAATAGTAGACAACCATCACCCTCAATCGGAGAGGGAGTTTCCGGGTTGCTCAGAAATCCTTTCCCAGAAATGCCCAAGGAAACATAGAGCTAGCCAAAAAAATAGTAGACAACCATCACCCTCAATCGGAGAGAGAGTTTCCGGGTTGCTCGGAAATTCTTACCCAGAAATGCCCAAGGAAACATAGAGCTAGCCAAAAAATAGTAGACAACCATCACCCTCAATCGGAGAGAGAGTTTCCGGGTTGCTCAGAAATTCTTACCCAGAAATGCCCAAGGAAACATAGAGCTAGCCAAAAAATAGTAGACAACCATCACCCTCAATCGGAGAGAGAGTTTCCGGGTTGCTCAGAAATTCTTACCCAGAAATGCCCAAGGAAACATAGAGCTAGCCAAAAAATAGTAGACAACCATCACCCTCAATCGGAGAGGGAGTTTCCGGGTTGCTCAGAAATCCTTTCACAGAAATGCCCAAGGAAACATAGAGCTAGCCAAAAAATAGTAGACAACCATCACCCTCAATCGGAGAGAGAGTTTCCGGGTTGCTCGGAAATTCTTACCCAGAAATGCCCAAGGAAACATAGAGCTAGCCAAAAAATAGTAGACAACCATCACCCTCAATCGGAGAGAGAGTTTCCGGGTTGCTCAGAAATTCTTACCCAGAAATGCCCAAGGAAACATAGAGCTAGCCAAAAAATAGTAGACAACCATCACCCTCAATCGGAGAGAGAGTTTCCGGGTTGCTCGGAAATACTTTCCCAGAAATGCCCAAGGAAACATAGAGCTAGCCAAAAAATAGTAGACAACCATCACCCTCAATCGGAGAGGGAGTTTCCGGGTTGCTCGGAAATCCTTTCCCAGAAATGCCCAAGGAAACATAGAGCTAGCCAAAAAAAGTAGACAACCATCACCCTCAATCGGAGAGAGAGTTTCCGGGTTGCTCGGAAATTCTTACCCAGAAATGCCCAAGGAAACATAGAGCTAGCCAAAAAATAGTAGACAACCATCACCCTCAATCGGAGAGAGAGTTTCCGGGTTGCTCAGAAATCCTTACCCAGAAATGCCCAAGGAAACATAGAGCTAGCCAAAAAATAGTAGACAACCATCACCCTCAATCGGAGAGGGAGTTTCCGGGTTGCTCAGAAATTCTTTCCCAGAAATGCCCAAGGAAACATAGAGCTAGCCAAAAAATAGTAGACAACCATCACCCTCAATCGGAGAGGGAGTTTCCGGGTTGCTCGGAAATTCTTACCCAGAAATGCCCAAGGAAACATAGAGCTAGCCAAAAAATAGTAGACAACCATCACCCTCAATCGGAGAGAGAGTTTCCGGGTTGCTCGGAAATTCTTACCCAGAAATGCCCAAGGAAACATAGAGCTAGCCAAAAAATAGTAGACAACCATCACCCTCAATCGGAGAGAGAGTTTCCGGGTTGCTCGGAAATTCTTACCCAGAAATGCCCAAGGAAACATAGAGCTAGCCAAAAAATAGTAGACAACCATCACCCTCAATCGGAGAGAGAGTTTCCGGGTTGCTCGGAAATTCTTACCCAGAAATGCCCAAGGAAACATAGAGCTAGCCAAAAAATAGTAGACAACCATCACCCTCAATCGGAGAGAGAGTTTCCGGGTTGCTCAGAAATTCTTACCCAGAAATGCCCAAGGAAACATAGAGCTAGCCAAAAAAATAGTAGACAACCATCACCCTCAATCGGAGAGAGAGTTTCCGGGTTGCTCAGAAATTCTTACCCAGAAATGCCCAAGGAAACATAGAGCTAGCCAAATAATAGTAGACAACCATCACCCTCAATCGGAGAGGGAGTTTCCGGGTTGCTCAGAAATCCTTTCACAGAAATGCCCAAGGAAACATAGAGCTAGCCAAAAAATAGTAGACAACCATCACCCTCAATCGGAGAGAGAGTTTCCGGGTTGCTCGGAAATTCTTACCCAGAAATGCCCAAGGAAACATAGAGCTAGCCAAAAAATAGTAGACAACCATCACCCTCAATCGGAGAGAGAGTTTCCGGGTTGCTCAGAAATTCTTACCCAGAAATGCCCAAGGAAACATAGAGCTAGCCAAAAAATAGTAGACAACCATCACCCTCAATCGGAGAGAGAGTTTCCGGGTTGCTCAGAAATCCTTTCCCA